TATTAATTTGAGGCTTTAGTTGGTAGAAAAGTGGTCAGACTTCTTTTCAAAGAAATCAAAATCCGGCACTGACAACTGAATAGGTAAACAAAGATTTACCTTAGCAAACCACAATATTTTGGGGATTTACCAGGGAACCTTAAAATGCAGGCCTGAAAAACAATTGGATAAAAATGGCAACCATATTTTCTGACATATCAGGATTTTTAACAAATAGTAATACAGGTTTTTTTTTTTTTTTTTTTCTAGTTTGGGAGTAGTTTTGACATTTTAATGTTCATTGGAACCTGGATAAGTGACACTGAAATGACACGTTACCTGCAGTATTGTAATTTTCAAATCATTGTATGATATCAATAAAACTGAGTTACAAGTAAACTACTTTCCGCTATAATGCAGTGGGTATATGGATTTATTTGTCAGTGGGAAATTAATAGAGACTTTGAACAGCTCAAATTCTCATAAAATTTGTAGAAGAAAACAAAAATTCAAAATGTAAATTTAAAGTGACACTCCATGCTAGAGTTAAATCCACAAAAAAATAAAAACAATGAAAGAAAAGATGCTTGACTCCCTATTTGCCTTGATTTCTGCAACACTGAAGAATCTACGGGGACTCGGGAGATAGAGTGGAGGTTGACCTGTAGCTATAGCATACCCTATGTAGGTAGTATAAATGTTGAGATGCATAGATTATCCTTTTAAACTGTAATTATTAATTAGCTTTATGCTGAGATATTACAACATATTTTTCATTTCTGAAATGCCAGTGTGGGCCAGAGCCAGTCCTGAGCTAAAATTAATCGACATAAAACTAATGAGGTCCTATTTTGGAGGAACAGTCGCTATTTTGGGCCTAAATCCCCGTCTCCCTCTGTCCTATTCTGATGTCTCTAGTTTCTAGAAACTCTGTATTATTGGTGTGTCTGAGTGTTTAACAAAGTACAAGAGCAATAATACTCCAAGTAATGTGTCTTTAAACTACAATAAATGTGTTTAGAAATCAGTCTGTGTAAATAAGATACATTGTTCCTGTTCTAAATTACATTACAGTTGTTACACAACTATTCAAACAATTACAATCCGTTATATAGCGTTAAAGGATCATTATAGGGTCAGGAACACAAACATGTATTCCTGACCCTATAGTGTTAAAACCACCATCTAGCCCCCCCTGCCTCCATAAATATAGCAAAATCTTACTGTATTCAAGCCTGAAGCTGTAACTCTGCATGCTGTTTGTCTCAGAAAAACAAGCAGTCTGCTGACATCATCAGAAGTGGTAGCCTGATCCAATCACAGTGCTTCTCCAGAGGATTGGCTGAGACTGACAAGGAGGCAGATCAGAGGCAGAGCCAGCACAATTCAAACACAGCCCTGGCCAATCAGCATCTCCTCATAGAGATGAATTGAATCAATGAATCTCTATGAGGAAAGTTCAGTGTCTGCATGCAGAGGGAGGAGACACTGAATGTTTGGATGCATTTTAGGCAGCCATGACCCAGGAAGGATCTCTAACAGCCATCTGAGGAGTGGCCAGTGAAGTTATCACTAGGCTGTAATGTAAACACTGCATTTTCTCTGAAAAGACAGCGTTTACAGCAAAAGGCCTCAAGGTAATGATTCTACTCACCAGAACAAATTCAATAAGCTGTAGTTGTTCTGGTGACTATACTGTCCCTTTAACATTTCCGCAGCTTTCCACAAATAGCAAACAACACAAGCATTTAATTCTTACAAAATGTATGACGTAGAGGAATAGTAGGTCAAGGGGGCCTTACCCAAACAAGCTCACACTGTATTGCTCCTAAAATTAAAGTGTCCATCTTTTAGGAAATTGAATAATATCCATGGCCTTTGAATGATTGGTGTTGATTGGGGGCAACATTGGGGGATTTAATTAAATGTTTCCATAAGCCACCTGCACATAACACTGAGTGGAGTATATTTGGCATTTTTGGTATTTGGTCACTTTTTTAAATTAAATTAAAAACCAAATGAGTACATTTCTTCAATTTAGCAATGTCTGTAAATGTAACATAAGCTACAGAGAATACAAGATTTAATGTAAAGCAGGCCTTCCTGCATTCCTGTTATGTGATTTTGTACTTTCAGACACAGAGGACAGTGTTATGTATATCACTGTAGCTTTGCTAATTAATCACACCAATCCCACTAAGCCTAGAGCTTGTTCTAAGCACCATAAACACTTCAATTCACCATATGGGTCCCTGGGTGCTATCCCCGGGTAAAAAGGCAAACCATTTGTGAACTGCATGGCACTTACATGGGAGCAGCTCCTGAAATTCGATCACTCTTACTGAGAGTCGTGAGGTATAACAGACTAGTTGATTAGTAGTAAAATATAAAACTTCACACACACAGGGGAACTGTCCATAAACTCTCCACACTAGTAGAGTTCACGACATTCTGTAAGGCACTGGGCCTTCCCGCACCCGTGCAGGATGCCGACCGACAAACCGCAGCGGATACCTGACTCCCCCGGACACAATAATAACCAGGGCACACACAGTTTACCCCCAGCTGAGATGCTTCTATCTTGTTAGCCCCGAGACAATCCCAGTTTAACGGTTCCCCCCTTAGAAGGAGGAATCTGCCGCTATGTTTCCAATCCCACCCCCCCTCCCCCCACTGGGCCCTCCCGGGCTTAGGGTGATTTAGAAGGAGGCCCTGAATCCACAACCTGTTCAGGTTGCATTAAGCCCACCCATATCACGCAGCCATCCTCTCAGAGCAGTTCACACACTCCTGATAATGTACCAGTTCTGGTCCATAATCTTAACGGTTCATTCCTGTTCTCACACTAATGCTAACCTTATATTGCGAAACAAGTATACGTTTGTTGAAGGTACAATGTGTTACGTAACCCGCAAGGGTATGTTTAAAAATTGAAAAGTTCAATAAAAAGAGATTGACACAAAAAAAAAATATATAAAAGTGTCCCTTCAAAAAAATTAACTATTTAAATTGACTGTTATGGTGCTGTCAAAAGGGTCATTGGAAGAATTGCCCCCTCTGCTCCTAGCATACAGGAGTTGTGGGCTGCAGCCTCACTCCATTCGTCTTTAAATTAAAATAGGAGGTGTGTTGGGGTGTCTGTTTTCGCAGTACTGCAGCCAGGATTTGTGCACGTCCTTTGCTAGCTCAGCTTGTATTGGTCCTGAAGCCACCAACCTATGCACTAACCAATACAGTCTCAATGTTCTCCATGTCTGGACTGGCTCTTTGGGACATTTCTTGGTGGGCTGCGGTAACCCGTGAGGACAATCTGTCCCGCTTTAGTTCCCGGTTATTCCAGTTCTGCCAAATTAATTATTTCCAGTGTGCTATGGGACTAAGCCACTGTGTGTTTTAATCACTAAACTGCTAGTTGTGAAGAATTGATAAGAGAAAGGCAAACATAAGCCAATGCAGTGCAATTAGAGAATCTGTTTTTACTTACTTCAAGTTTTGTCATTTCTTTATCAATTATCTACAGTTCTCAGTTCTCTACATAAAGTCTTAAATATTGAGATTTAAAAAAAGAGAAAAGAATTCTGTTGTGCAAAGTGAAAATGGCAGTCCACTGTTAACATGGAGCAAACAACCCGTGTTTCTTGGTTCTTTGCACTGTCTGCAGCGCTGTATCTAGTGCGAGGCTGACAAGGCATTTGCCTTGGGCAGCACTTTTAGGGGCAGCAAAAAACGGCGAGGGAGCACTCTCCCCCGAGGTCTTCCTGCTCAGCGTACACTACAGTAATGCCGGAATATGATGTCACTGCGGCCCCAGCATCACTGAGAGGCGTAAGAGGGAGCTGAGCATGGAGATCAGAGCTCCCTTGCGCGCTTGCATTGACCACAGGCCCAGCCGCTCAGCAGAATAAGAAGTAAAAACAATAGAAGGTAGTCCAGGCGTACTGCTCTATGGATAGGGCGTGGGTGAAATAATCCCCACCAAGGATATATCTTGAAAGTGATGTTCACTGGAGATAAAAATCAGGTGCCAGGCAGTGTAGGATAAAAATAATAAAAAAGTAGCAAAAATAAAATAGTTTTAAAAAAAAGAGTAAAATGGCACAAAAAGTAACCAAAATACCTTTATTCATTCAATATAAAATAATATCCAACTAAAAAATAATGAGAAAATAGAGAAAAGAAAGAAGGGAGAAACTAGGGATATTTACAAAATGCACTCCAATTCATAGATATCTGGAACCAGATAATAGGATATGTGTATGTCAGGGCCGTCTTTAATATTGATTGGACCCTGGGCAAAGCATTTGCTTGGGCCCCTGGAACCTGTCCCCCCTCATCAGGCGTGCAATCACGTCCTCCACCCTAACGAAGTGGCAGACCTAAAGTATAGAGGTGCAAGAATTTTTTTGAGCCTCCCTATCGCACAGGTGATTAGAAGGTAGATCCCCATCTGTCGTGCAACTCCAGCAATGCACTGACAGCTGGGGCTCTTCCATTTACCCATGTTTGAAGGTTTGTATTTAGCACTAAGCTGTTGTGTGTTTGAATGTTAAAAGGGTTTTTGTATGGAATATGTTTGTATGTGGTGTTGGCGTACGTGCAAGCATGTATTTATGTGTAGTGTTGGTTTTTGAATGCAGGGGTGTGTTTACATATAATTTTGGTGTGTAACTCAGACGTGTGTTTTGGAGTTTGAATGCCAGTGTGTATTTGTATGTGATGTTAGTGTGTGAATGCTGAGATGTATGCACATATACACACACACATATATCGATATATATATATATATATATATATATATATATAAAAATATATATAAATATATATATATATATTTATGGCACACACAGACAGACATACTGGTACACAGACATACTGACACACACACAGTCAGACCTACTGACAGACAGGGACCTACTGACAGACACACACAGACATACTACACACACACAGACCTACTGACAGACACACATACACACACAGACCTACTGACAGACACACACACAGACCTACTGACAGACACACACACACACACATAGACCTACTGACAGACACACAGACCTACTGACAGACACACACACAGACCTACAGACATACTGACACACACCCAGACAGACATACTGGCATACACAGACACATACTGACACACACACACAGACATAGTGGCACACACAGACAGACATACTGGCACACCCAGGTCGACATACTGGCACACAGACACACAGACATACTGGCACACAGACATACTGACACACATCCAGACAGACATACTGGCATACACAGACACATACTGACACACACACACAGACATTGTGGCACACACAGACAGACATAGTGGCACACCCAGGTAGACATACTGGCACACAGACATACTGACATACACCCAGACAGACATACTGACAGACACACAGTCAGACCTACTGACAGACACACACACACAGACATACTGACCCACAGACATACTGAAATACACCTATGCAAACTTTAAAGCCCCCCTCCAGTTTCCTACCTTCTCTGGGGTCCAGTGTGCTGGCTTGGGTGGTTGGGAGTTGGGGACTTTGTCTCTTTGCTCAGTCCGCCTCCTCACTGCGTCCTGGCACAGGCTCCCTCCCGCGCGGCTCATCATGTCTGAGGGAGGAAGTGACTTGCGGACGTCACTTCCTCCCAGTGCTGCTGTAAAGCAAGGGGCCCGGTCGTGCTGTTAAAGGGTCACAGCACCCGACCGGGCCCCTGCTGAAACGTGCTCACCGGGTGGCCCTAAATGTATTGGCCACCCGGTGAGCCTCCTTAGAGTATGGGCCCCGGTGCAGCCGCAGTACCAGCACCGCGGGCCCATGGGGGGGGGATTTTTCTTATGCAGGCTATGGGCGGCGGGGCAAATAGGGCAGCTGCTTTGGGCCCCCAAGGAGTAACTGGGCCCGGGGCAGCTGCCCCGTTTGCCCCGCGTTAAAGACGGCCCTGGTGTATGTAGATTGGCCAGTTTTACATTAACATACTCCTAGTGTTTGGTATCCGTTCAACACTTATAGTTAAATTAGTAGTGAAACCTCTTAACAGTAACAGAGTTTCTGCAAATGTAGAGATTCCTGAAGAGCCTGCCTGGCGAAACACGTGTTGGGGCACGGCTTATGGTACTCTCTCACAATAACTGACAAAGCTTTGGGTTTGCAGAGGTTATACCTCTGGAAGCAATAGCTAAGTATTACCTATATTCAATCAGATACCTAACAGATATTTAGACTGACTGTTTGCTGAATGGGAGCACCAAGCCATTTTCATGGAGCGTAATAAGCTATAGATAGTTTGTTTACCTCGAAGATTAGGTGCCCACGAAGGCACAGGATAGACTAGTGCTACTTAAGCTCCATGATTAAAAAGCCATTATATTAGCATTTCTCTACCTCTAATTCTTAACCAGATCACAATTTTTTATTGGGTACATAAGAAAGGCACTTTAGGAAGCACAATATCTTCCCTTTGGGTGTAGTCCCACTAGTTACAAACCTCAGCTGATAAATTAATACAATCACTACACCCAATCTGATTCTCAGGGAATCGCTAAATTTGCAGATACTATGCTTCTATTAAGAGGTTTCACGATTAATTTAGCTATAAGTGTTGAATGGATACCGAATACTAGGAGTATGCTTAGGTAAAACTTGGCAAACTACATACACATATCGTATTATCTGGTTCCAGAGATCTATGAATTGGAGTGCATTTTGTAAATATCCCTAGTTTCTCCTTTTTTTTTCTCTCTCTATTTTCTTATTATTTTTTCATTTATTTATTATATATTTTTGTATATGTTTTTATTAGAATTTTGATTAAATGTTATGCTTTATCAATCATATTAAAGTGTATGTTTAAACCTCATCAGAAACCTATTTCGATAGGGCATTTTGTTCTAATTTCTCAAAATTTATTAAACTAAGGGCTATCCCCTCGTTGCCCTTCCTATGGATAAAAAAAGCTCTCCCCTGTGCTATTGTATGCCCTGTATATCTTTATGCTATTGTGCTACTGGCATAGACCTTATATATAACCTTAGAGACACTTAAGTGTGTATCCTAATCCATTAGACTTATTCAAAGAAATCTCCTATGTCACTTCCAATCTCAAAGACCGTTGTCAAATTGTCAGCATATTCGAACTCTACAAATTCTCTAAGTCAGCTATGCATTCACCCAATATTTGAAATTCACTTTGAATTCTCACTGTAGTAAATAACTCTGTCTGCCAAAATGTTGCCAGCTTATGTTTGATGTCTGAATAAACCAACATTTTACCAGAATGCTGAGTGCTGGGGCTTTTGTTCATTGTTATGAACAAGTGCAATAATTCAAGGGTTCAATTGAGTGTCCTACGCTCACCAAAAGTGCGGCCATTCACTTGGCCTACCTCCCGAAAATCTTAATTACTATTTTAACGTTAAATCTGTTCAAACTGTGATATGATGGGTGTGCACATTTAATAGTGGTCACCAATTTCAAAATCACTACACAAAAATATAGATTTGTATAAACTAACCACAGGCTATTTTCTTATTGATAAAATAATTAAATATATTTGAGACGTTCCAAGAAAACCAAGTGGAACTGCTCCCAGAAAGCATGCTTGCATTGCCGTTGCACACAGCGGATATTGCTGGATGGTGAATGAATTGAATTAGGTTATCATAGCGTGGATGAGGATCAGAAGACCTGCATAACTCGGATGGTAGATACAACTGGTGGGATTAGAGCATTTGTCACTGACAGACATAGAGGAAATGGATTTAAAGGAAGGATCGCATGTCCAGGGCATGGCCAGTCGGTAATGGAATACGTGTACAGGGCAAGCTGCAATTTAGTGTCACTGAGTTTGAGAACTAGGAATGCAGCCAACTATCTGGAATTGCTATGGGCATTGCTTACATTCAATGCCGGCATGGTGTATATTTATATACCCACTGTCCTGTTGCAATTATTTGTACAGTTTATCAGTTGGGATCGTGTTTACGTTGATATCTGTGCTTTACTTTGCCAAACAGTAATATAAATCTACCTTTACCAGATTATATTACATAAGTACAGGGTTATCCATTAAAGAAAGAATTCAAGGTGAATTCTAAGTGAGTTTCAAATTTAACCCATTCCTGACGTCAAGATGTTCCATGCCGTCCTATACAGAGTGGGCTTTAATGCTTGGACGGCATGGAACACCCACATGATACTGGTATGGAAGACAGCCACTAAAGGTGGAATTAACCCCCCAAAAACTGCAGTGTTTTCAGTTGAGGGTTAAAAGGTGAGGAGCACTGCAGCCAAACCCTTCAAATTACTCCATGGAGCTTATGTCTACCTTGCACATGGTGTACACATCAGTTTCTTGGACACAGTGCTAAATTCATCAGAACCAACAATGACCCTACAAGGACATTGCTGGTTCTCATGGTTAACTTGTGGTAAAAACGACAGTTTTCTATACTGTGATACTTAAGGCAGACGAGGTATTGTACGAGTTGCAGTTTAAAAAGCTGACAATCTGCCCTTTGGTCACCCCTGCTGTACACTGCACAGTTCTGCATGACTGCCTTACAACCTGTGCAATTCTATGTTTAATCTTAAAACACATGTGTAATCATAGCATCTCAATCTAAACATTTAAAGAGCTACCGAACTGTAATATTTTAATGTTCTCTTATTCCTTTGTGATTTGTTTTCAATTTAGTAAAGCAGCGGGGGTTTATTTTTGTTTTATATTATTTAATAATAATCTTTCGCAGCTGCATTTTTAAATTTCTTCGGTATATCCAAGTCATATGTGAATATAAAAAAACCTGTTTTGTTTTTTCGGTCTTTGCGTCATTTAGTTTTGGCCTGTATTTTTCTCCTGTTATGTTACGTTTTCGTCACGTTTGCATTGGTGCCTCAAGGAGTTTATCCTTGAGGCACCTATAAGGATAACAGACTAAGGATTACTGATTCAGGTATTTTCTTCTAAATAAAATATTTGCTCTTCAGTCAATGCTACAGACATTTTGTCAGATCCACACAGGCCAATATAAGAGTTTTCACAGATCTCTCCATATCTTATATAAGATAACCTGTTCTTATCCTTTAAAGTTCTACAGAAGTCACGTTGTCGCATATTGCTGAATGCGGGCCTCATTATGTCCACTAGTGGCTATTTCATATGCACATTCTGCATTCTAAATGGTTGAAATAGGGGAGATATGGTATTGGTGTAAGAATATTTTGTTATCATCCCATCCCTTTGCCTATAATACACAGACAATATAAAATAAATATATATCTATATATACTTTCATCGTTCTTCGTTAAATTAGGAGTTACCTGGGTGATTGAACATTTTGTGGCAAAACATTCTTTAGCTTTGAAAACATTTCAGATCAGCTATTTTATGCTACAAATTTCAATGCCCTGGCTAGTTCAACAATTTGTGTAAGATATGTTAAACACAATAATAATAAAACAATTCTTAGACTATATATTTGCATTTGTTTATTTAAAGGTACCATTAAATCTATCAGAGTTGGGGGGGCGTGTCCGACTGCCGAGAGGAACGGACGCAAGGAGTGAGAGCTCCCGGTCCGAGACGGCAAAAGCGTGAATAGAAGCAGCTCTTACCCCCCGGCTGACGGCGAAAAACAGGAGAGGTATCTCCCCCTCACCTCCCATGGCCCCGGCAAACAAAGCTGACGGACCCGATCCGCCACGGGAAAAAAGACCGGTCGCGGCCGGCGCAAGATGGCGGCGGTGAGGAGCTGGAACCCTCACAGGCCTCAAATCCTCCCACAGAGTTTGAGGAGCAAGGATACACTGATGCCCCAGTCACAGAAAAAAAGCTGTATGCAATGCTAAAGGATTTTAGACTCATTCTGCAGTCTGATCTGAAGAAAGCCACAAATGATATTAAGAAATAAATAACAGATCTGGGGGAAAGAACAAACAATTTAGAAACACGCACTGACGACATATGCGCAGCGCAAGACGCCCTGGCAGACACAGTACAACAATTAGTGAGTGAACAGCAGTTCCTAAAAAGGAAATTAGCGGACATGGAAGATCGCTCACGTAGAAATAATATCCGCTTCCGTGGCATACCAGAAAGCGTCACGAGAGAGCAACTGCCGCAATACCTTATTTCCCTGTGCAAGTCGCTGGCGCCGGAGATATCGGACCCAGAATGGCTCATGGACCGAGCTCATAGACTACCGAAACCGCAGAATCTGCATAAAGATACGCCGCGCGACGTGGTCGCTCGCTTCCACTACTATAAGACGAAAGACCATCTTCTGCAGGCGGCGCGGAAAATCACCGTGATGCCCACCCCGTATACAGATGTTCAATTATACGCAGACCTGTCAGCTATGACAATGGGCAGACGCAGAGAATTCATTAACGTGACGAAGTCCCTGAGAAACAACGGCATACAATACAGATGGGGCTATCCAACAAAACTACTTATATGGAGGAATGCCAAAACGCATACCGTCAACGAACCGGAGGTGGGAATGCGCTTACTAAAAGAATGGGGCCTATTCCCGCTATCACCGAGATGCTTCGACTACAGCATCCCCGAGAGGACCGCAGGCTGAATGGAAGATGGCGGGCTCGCCACAAAGGAAAGAATAGGGCTCCAGTCGGGACCCAACAAGGACATACCACTACCCACTATAATATTGGACACTGAGAGACACTAACTCTATGCTAGCCTCCGCTCTATGATGTGCTAATGTAACTGGATTGTGAGTATGACATTCTGAACCTCTTAATGTAATACATTATATGTGAGTCCCTATTGCCCAAGGAGTAAAGCACTACGTAGCGGGGTGACCAACCTTGTCAAACCCAGCGGGTGGGGAGTCAGGGCAGGTACAAAGGGACGGTAGGGACGCAACTCTACGAGTACTACAGCAAATGGGAGGTATAGGGTACAGAAGTCATGACTCAGATAGTATATACTGTACAGGTTTTGTGACAGCATGGCATATACATGGTAGCGAGATGGAGGAGAGGATATTGTTTATGACAAAATGGTGGGCCCTGGTGGACATCTCAGACGTATTTGTGGGGTAGGAATAAGTATACCTAGAGAAAAGCTGTCACGCACTCGGCTGCACCACCCAGGTGCGTCCCCAGGATGAGACGTGAGACGGATAAAATCTGCCCGCTCACACCTCACCCACGTAGAGCGCTAGTTCTCTATATGGCGCTTTGTACATACTTTAGTTATTTTTTTTCTCCCTCCCTGTATTTGTGTCCACTGTCCCTACGTTTCCCCTTTCGGTCCCGGACCAGCAGCACACCGCATGTCGCAAGCAGCGAATGTCATCCCACGGCCCCAGCATAGCATAACACCACACCTGGATCATGGTTGACTCTTTGGTGATCCTCACCTTAAACGTTAAGGGTCTCAACAGCCCACACAAAAGGAGGCTAGCAGTACAGGAAATGACCAAGTCCAAGGCAGCGATTATAGGTCTCCAAGAGACACACTTCTGCATTAGGAAACACCCCAAACTCACTGTCAAACAGTATCCCCAAGGATACCACGCCATGTCAGACACTAAAGCTAAAGGAGTTGCTATCTATTTCCATAGGGATTGGGCATTCACACCATCCAACCAATTTGCCAGTCGAGACGGGAGAATACTGATATTAGTGGGCTCCTTAAATGGTTTATCGGTGACTATAGCTTCCATATATGCGCCGAATGATAAGCAAAAAACCTTTCTCAGCACAGTGTTTAGGACAATTGACAAGCTCAGAGTGGGCCATACAATTATATGCGGGGACTTTAATTGCGTTCCAGATCCCGATGTCGATATAAAACGAGAGGGGAACAAATTACCACAACAACATTCAATCTCACTAGGCCAACACTTTAGGAAATTATTGCACGGGCATGACTTCTATGACACGTGGAGAGGCTTGCACCCGAGTGGGAGGGACTATACGTACTACTCGTCGGTCCATAGGACCTACACGAGAATTGATCTCTGTCTACTCGACACCAAAACATTGCCCTTCGCCATTAAGGCTCACATTGGGCCGATCACGTGGTCTGACCATGCCCCGTACATTGTCACTATGCGAATTCCGTACTCAGCTAGGGGTAGAGGTAAATGGCACCTGAATGAAGGTCTATTAGACGTACCAGCACATCTTCAACGATTACAGGTTCGGGCTGCGGAATTTTTCGCTGACCATGTTGACTGCTCGTCATCCGACACCACAAAATGGCTGGCCCATAAGGCGGTCATGAGGGGAGAATTAATCCAGATAGGGGCTAGGACAAAGAGGCTGCACAACACAACACTGGACAAGGTAGAGAAAGACCTGGCCACAGTAGAATCCACCCATAAAACAAACCCCACTACGGCAACACATAAGCGACTGATGTCGCTTCGTACAACACTACATAGTCTAAACCTCGCTGTAACAGAACGACACCTGAGGTTTTTGAAGCAATCACACTATGTCATGGGCAATAAAGCTGGGAAAATGCTGGCCAACAAAGCGAAACAAACCAAACTGCAATCTAAAATCCCGTATATAACCTCCACAACTGGGGATAAATTATACAACCCCCAAGACATAGTGAACGAACTAGCGAAATACTATGCCTCATTATACCAATTAGAAAAAGATCCCTACACACACCAACCGACGGAAGACGAGATAGCACGTTTCCTGGATAGAGCGCCCCTAGCCAGCCTAACACAAGCACAACGAACCCAATTAGAGAACCCCTTCACGGAGGACGAAGTAGAAACAGCAATCAAATCCCTTCCCAAACATAAGGCCCCCGGACCAGACGGGATATCCAACTACTACTACATAAAACTGACCAAACAACTACTCACGCCTCTCACCAACCTATTTAATCACATAAAAAATGCAGGGACTATGCCCACGGAAATGCTGGAGGCACATATAGTGACGTTACCCAAACCCAATAAACCCCCCACACACTGTGCAAACCTACGCCCGATCTCCCTTCTGAACGCAGACACCAAACTGTATGCCAAATTCCTCGCTTCTAGAATTAAACCAATCCTAGCTGACCTTGTCTCGGAGGAGCAAGCGGGCTTTGTCCAGGGGCGTCAAGTAGGGGACAACACTAGACATTTCTTGAACCTGATTGACTGGGCGAACGCCTCGCATCAAGCGGGACTCTTGCTAGCGCTGGACGCTGAGAAGGCGTTTGATCGCCTACACTGGAGGTATATGTTGCTCACCCTCACCAAAATGGGATTCCCACTAACCTTTAGATCAAGCATAATGGCACTGTATCAAAACCCTTCAGCAAAAGTTTTTAGCACGGGCTTTGTATCTAACAGGTTCGCCATATGCAATGGCACCAGGCAAGGGTGTCCCCTCTCCCCCCTAATATTTATCCTATGTCTGGAACCGCTAATAAGGATAGTAAAAAATGATCCCAATATAAAGGGGCTGCACACCCAGGGGGGCGATAAGAAATTGGCTCTGTTTGCCGATGACATACTACTGTTTGTCACAAAACCGGAGACCTCCCTTCCCATTCTAATGAGAACGCTGGTAGACTATGGGGAGATATCATACTATAAAAACAACTTAACCAAAACGCAAGCTCTACCCATAAACCTATCAAAACCTACGTTAGACAGGATAAAGCCACAACATCCCTTTGATTGGCGCACCAATTCCTTAAAATACTTAGGTGTAAACCTCACCAAATCCCTTCAAACGGTGACCAAAGAAAATCACTACCCCGTGCTAAAGAAAATCAAATCCTCCCTAGAACAGTGGGCTAACATGGACACCTCATGGCTCGGACGTATCAACCTAATTAAAATGATGACACTGCCACACATCCTATACCTATTCAGAACCCTGCCCATATTCCTCCCGACTGCGCTGCTCAAACAATTCCAAAGCACGATCAATGCTCACATATGGAAGAGGAAACCCCCGAGAGTGAATAAAGGGTGTCTGGGACTTCCTTATGTCCAAGGTGGACTGGGGATGCCGGACGTAACTGCGTACTATAGGGCCTCTTTCTTGGCACAGGGACTGCGACTCATTAGGAACCATACCCTTCCCCGTAAACCGCTCTGGCTGTCATTAGAAAATGAATGCCTAGAGGCACATGACACAGTCCATTACTTGTGGACATGCTCCTTGCCCCGAACATCTGCAGGCATGACCCTGAGATGCTCGATCACTATGCTTAAAGCATGGAAGACATGGTGTCTGAAGGTGCTAGACCCGGTACGATTATTTAGGGAAGCACCCATCACAACACTAGCAGCCTACTCCCCAGGCATACAGGTGGGCAAATGGCTCAACAAGGGAGCGAGATTAGTGAGGGATTTAATGTCAGGAGACGCGGTGAAACCATTCACTGAATTGAAAGAGGAACTGGGGTTAGACTTGAGAGATCTGTACCTTTATTTAAGGATCAAAAACATAATACTAACCCATGGTAAACAAACAGTCGCTCGAACTAACTCTCCGGTACTCCAACCTAGCCACTTATCTCTGACAAAAGCAGTAAAACCACTCTCCCTATGTTACAATGCGTTGGTCACAGATAACACTCCAGATAAAATGAAATACATGGCAAAATGGGAGCAGGACCTGGGATTTCAAATCTCCCAAGCAGACTGGCAGTCTGCAAGGGCAAATACAAAACAGGCATCGAGTAGTCTCTCGCTATGGGAGGCCTACTGCAAGATAACTATGAGGTGGTATCTGGTACCACAGAGACTAGCAAGTATGTACTCAGGAGCTTCGAACTTGTGCTGGAGATGCGAGTCGGACACTGGAACCATGTTACATGTGTTCTGGAAATGCCCGCTGCTAGACGGATTCTGGAAACAAATCCAAACCCTGATCTCAAGTACGACTGGCACCTCCATCCCATTGCGACCGGACAAGTACTTATTACATGTTATACCAGACCTAGACACACACCCTCACAAAAAAGTGATTCTGAATATACTGACGGTAGCAAAAGTAGCCTTAGCTGGTAACTGGAAAAGCAAACAAGTTCCTCAGGTAGAGGTGATTATCAACAAAATGAATGTGATTAGCATATACGAGAAAATGGCCAGCAAGCTAAAAGGATGCCTAGGAAAGTATGATAAAGAATGGGTATGTTGGACGGCTACATAGTCACTGAATGACAACTAAGACAAACCGACTGCTCGAACCAAATGGTTAACCCTCATAGCGGGCCAGTAAGGAAGCACACAGGCGCAAACGTTAGGGGACCAAAGGGGTCAGGGCGTTGAGGTGCTCAGGCGAATATATAGCCTCATCAATCTCACAAATTACACAAGGAAGGTGATTTATAATGTACTGCAGGCTGTGGCGTGAAGCTGTGATCAGGGACTTTCCCCCCCCCCTCTTTCCTTCTGTATCCCATCCCCTCCCTAGTTATATTTAAAAAAAAAAAAAAATGTACCGCATGCTTTGAAGCTGTATGCATCACATCGAACATCGCCTGGCATACGGATTATTTGTATATTTAATTGGTTATTTGATCAATTGAGTGAGAAGTATGGCTGGATACAGGGCGACATGTAGAATGTTATCCGCAAATGTTGTTGTAAAAGCGGACTGTAATTATGTACCATGTTATGTGTTGCAAATGTCATTTAATAAAAATGATAAATGAGAAAAAAAAATCTATCAGAGTTATTCACTAAAGGGAGAATGCAAAGTGGATTTTAACTTCAGAGTAGCTGGATGGAAAGCTGCCGGCCCACCGGGAAATTTCACAGTATCCCGGTGAGCCAGTCCGACCCTGATGGCGCAGCGTTGCACGCCTCTGCCCTTCTCCTCCTTCACATGAATATGTTGTGCTGCTTGGCCGCGGCTGACTGGCAACCCCCACGAGTGGCACCCGGGGAGGGCTGCCCCCCCTTCCCACACCGTCCCTCCATACCGCCCCCCGGTTAGTACACCACTGGTGCCAAGGAAAGCCCCAGGTTGTTTTTCAACCTGCTCCAAAATGGTTTGACAAAATAAAAGCAGAGTTACAGTGCCTTTAGTCCCTTCTGGGAATGTCATACAGGAACAATACATTTTCTCTTTAAAGGAACACTCCAATCACATTAAGTACTCTTGCACTTCAGATTTCGAAAGAATTCAGCGTTCGTATAAATAAACCTTATTACACCTCCTGACTTTTAATTAGACAGCAGGGAGGTGTTTAGCTTCATGGAACTAAACTCAAAGACAGGCACTTGCAAAACAGGACATAGACAAGGCCTCATTGTTTGCTCCTCGGAATACCGGCACCCACTGAGTTAAAGTGCGTTTTGGGAGTCCCAGCGGCCACACTCTGACTTACTAGTAGAAAGTGCCTGTACCACGAGAGAACAGTTACTTGTGTCGCCACCAACCAGACTTTACACTACACTTGCCCCGACCCTGTCCTCCCTCTAGCAGCCCTGCTGATTGCCCACGGCAGGGCTAAACATGTCCCGGTCATTGGGCGACACAAATTCTACATCCCTGAGTTCTGTGTTTCTATCAAAAAAAATAACCAGGTCATATTTTCAATTAAACTGGTTAGAAACGGGCCCTATTCGCTTGCTGTTTCAATGAATTAACACCAAATCCTACATTTCTGCATGCCATTAAGTTACTGAGTTACTGAGCAAGCAGGCTATCTGATTCAATTATATAAATGTTTTCCTCTGTTCTATTGTAATTGATAATGGCAAAATGAATACAATTTGCAAACTGAGTAAAGTCTCATAAATTCAGTTGACATTGTGGCCAGACTCCCTCAGTTACTTGGCCTTAAACTGACACAAGTGGAATATTTGATCTGTGTCCACATGGTGTTAATGGCCACTTAATGACTTTGGAGCATGTCGATGGAGATGTAATAGCTTTATAACGGTAGCTAAGCGATAGAAAAAACTATTTAGTGAGTACTTGAAAGCTCATCCTATTTATAGCACTTTCACAGTTTATGTTTCAATAACTGCAAATAGATTTTTTTTTTTTGCATTTTGTAAATGTCTTTATTCATGTTAGAAAAAGTGGCAATACATAATAAGACAAAGTACATCATTCAGTAATACACAAGAAATATATATCATTTGCTGAATATGAATGTTCACCTATTCCCCAAAGACCCAAGATCACTGTCAGAACAAGAACACCAAGGAAGCTCTTTATTGATTAACCAAGAGAGTGCACTACATGAGCTAATAGGTGATCGAGGCAAGGTGAAATGGCACAGCTTTGTGTGTACAGATTAATGGGACACTCCATACACCTAAAGCACTTTAGTGATTTATTTATGAAGAGTGTATCCTATTTTACAAAAAGTGCAAATTTTAAAAGAAGTTGGCACATTTATAAATTAACTTTGTTACACCTCCCTCCACAACTGTCAATCAGACAACAGGTCCTGTTACTTCCTGGTTTGTTTAGCTCAGTGGAGCTAAACTCAAGAGGCAGCAATTGCCAATTGTACCTTCCTTTCAAAGATGTCTCATTGAGCTGCATTGGAAAGTCTGTGATTGGACAGCCACAGGAAGTCTGAGCTAGGGAAGATGGAGTTAAATTGTTCCACTCAAGTAAACCCAATGGAGCAGTATATATAAATATACATTTACCCTTATAGTAAGGGAGAGGCAAATACTAACTAGGATAAAATAAATATAGTATAGTGTAATAAAACCAAGTGATATATAGAATGGATGTCCGATGCACTCACATGGGACAGAGCCAAAAATATATAGGCTCAAATCACAACAGCAGGGGTAATACCAAATTGTCTTCTTAGTTTAAGCCAAAAGCACTGAGAGAAGATAATAAAGCAAAATAGGAGACAGGCTCCTATTGTGATATTGTAAATTCAATATATATATACCAAAAATAAAATACTGGTTCTGCTCACCCTTATTAAAATCAATGTTCTGGGCTCTATGGGGACAATACCCTTCTTGGGAAAAGCAGGTCTGTCAGGAATCCACAGGATTACCGTATATGGTTTCTAAAATGTATTTAAACACTTTAAAAACAAATCAAAAGAAACAAATAAAACCATGTCAAAATACCATCATTAAAATGTCAGATTATCCTGATCTCCAAAACGGGTTTCCCAGAAATCCTCGGCTTCCTCAGTTGGTAACCTGCTTCTCCCATGGATTTAATGTCCCATCCTTTAAGGCAGGGCTTGACAAATCCCAGGCGCCAGGTCACTATGGCGACTAAGAATTGTGTTTTGTCAGCCTGTCCCTCGGAGGCAGACATCCGGCATTGAGAGAGAGTGGAGGCGGGCCAGCAGCCAGCTGTGCAGAATGGAGCCTGGCTGCGAGGGAGGGAACTGTGATCTCCCTGCTCTGCTCCCTCGCTCAGTTTTGTGATGCTGTAAATCACAAAGTTTAATGAACATTCATCACCTCAAAGATATTCTCAACCTGTTTATTTTAGATTTAAATTTTCAAATTCCACTTCCATTTCACAACAACTCCCAATACAATAAATTAATTGTAGGCATGAGCTAGTTAATATGCAACCCCAACACTCTATGTACTAGTGCACAGGTGAAATCCAGGCACTAGGTTGGTATTAAATCTCCATGTAGATCTGCATGTAAATATAGATAGTTATAAGCACAATATCTATCTATATATAATGTGGGAGGCTGTGTGTAAATAAACTGAAATAAAACAAAAATATATATCAGGTGTCCTGAGGGGACCAAGCTGAAACGTTGACCGTTTTTATTTTCAAAGGTAAATAGAAGTTATATTTTATATAAGTCCTTGGAGTGCTATCCTTATATATTTTTTGTATTCTTGGCTGGATAAGCACCGGGCACTATACTATTTTTGGAGTGGAGTGCAAGATTTGTTATTTTTCTGGATATAGATATATATAGATATATATAGATATATATAGATATATATATATATATATGAGAGAGAGAACACAAGGCTCTATAGGTGTTTATAAGTTTGTCTGTCTTTTTATATTTATTTATAATAAACATATGACACTATATTGTACCAAATGTGATGAGGAAATGTGTGTGTGAGATGAGGTATGTAAGTTCTAGTGTCAGAATGCGGAGTACTCTGAGGAGGCTTGGTCAAGCATTGTGGGCATGTGTTGCGCTAAGTGAAACTTAGGCACTCTCAGTAAGGCGTGTCATGACGGATTCCCGTAGAGAATTACTGGAGCATGGCCATTGGTGGGCAGTCTGGCTGCAATACAAGAAGCAGGGAGAAAGCAAAAGGGTATATGACATGCAATCACATGATAAGAAAATCAGTACTGTGAAACAGTACAGTTCATCAAACTAACTTTTGACAGGTGACCCAACCCTTTTGTATTAAACTTCGTTCATTGTGCGGTATGACCATGCTCCTTGCGCTTACCAACGGTGATTTTAATGAAACCATGTTTCAATGTTAGACACTACCCATGGGCTTTACTGCGTGTTAGTGTCTAGTTTAACTAAAATATATACAGTATATAATATTATTGATAGAACGTATATGTTCATAGTTTGCCACCATATGGTTATAAGAGGTACTACATCTTATGGGATTTTTATTCATTTATTTTGAATTTTATCACATGACAGGAGGCTTCATATTTTGCATAACTTTCTTTACTTTATGCCTCCAGCAGCACAAGTCAATCAATAAACTTTAAACCAATCAGTAACAGGCATCACATTCATATATAAAGCCCTGACAGTCACATGACTTCCTCTTTCTTTGCTGCTTACCAGCCAAGGCACAGGTCAGAGTATTTTGCTCCAAACTGTTTTACTGAATATTGCAATTGTCATTAGTTAATCATTTATTGCTTAACTTTCAGTTTGTTCCAAACTGTTTTTATTAATATTGCTATGGTCACTGTAGTTAGACACCTTATACTAGACATTCAGTTTTAATCCTAACTGTTTTTTCTGGATACCACTTTAATTAAACTTTATTAATTGACTTTCAGTTTGCTCCAACTGTTTTTATTAATATTGCTATGGTCACTTTAGTTAGATTTTTAATGCTAGACATTCAGTTTTTGCTCCAAACTGTTTCTGGATATGCATGGGCACTTTTGTTAAACTTTATTAGCTTGTCCTGCAATTTTGGCCTAAACGTTTTTCATTATTTTGCACTTGCCTTCCATTTGGATTTGTATAGTGTGATATTCTCCCCCTGTTACCCTTCCCCTGAATTAACCCTGTATTTTCTGCTTTATTAGCCTGTTTTCTGTTGCTGGCACCTTTTCTTTCCTATGCTTTACTCTGGTCTCGCATGGATCGCGGCGTTTTACCGCGAGCACGCTTTTTATTCATTGGTGCTGGGACTTCAGGGCAGGTCTCTGGGGGTTGGGGATGTCGGGGGGACTCTTTTCCATGCCGGCAGACCGCGATCGTATCCTCGATCGTGGGCCGCACGGCACTTTTGCGCGCGAACGGCGGCCATCTTGAATCTCGCGGCACTCGCGAGATTCACGTCGGCCATGTCGTTTGGCCAGTTCGTGATTCCCACGAACTGGCGGCTAGTTCTGTACTGTTTCATATATTTTTCCTGTGAAATAAAAGTTTTACAAGTACTTTTGAGCTCAATACTGTTCATGGGCATGTGGAATAAAGGTTTTATATGTACCTTTCCTGGAAGATTATGAATGGACTGTTCACTGCTGAGCTCTATACTGGCATATTTCATTGGCATGTGAAATAAAAGTTTTATATGTAACTCTGCATGAATATGTAGGACTGATCCCTGCTGTGTGCATCTGCTGACAGTTTGCTCTATTCTGTTCTATACAATTGACATGTTGAATAACAGTTTTATTGTACATCTGGAGGATTATGAATGGACTGTCCCCTGCTGTGGGTATATAGTGGATGCATTACTCTATCTACTGGCAGGGAAATTAAATAGAGCTGATATCTTACTCCGCTCCCTACTCCCACTGGACCTCACAACCATTGGATACACTCCTTCCCCACAGGGATACACCTCCCAGGACACAGTAGTGGAGGCACATAACGGAGTGATTAACAGGGGTGATCCCCCTTACGCTGGGTGACCCCCAAGCGTGGCAGACACCTCTCCAAAGTGACATTGTGGTACAGGGGTGACCCCCCCTTACGCTGGGTGACCCCCAAGCGAATCTGGTTCCTGTCCTAGTGACATACATATACTGGGTGATCCCCCTACTCTGGGTGAACCCCAAGCGAATATTATTCCGGTACTAGTGACATACATATACTGGGGGGAACCCCCACGCCCTAGGGCGGGCTCATTTCCACGGAGTACGATCTGTTACTGTATGCACAGACCGGGTCACACTGAATACATGTATATCGACAGAGCCAGGAAGGAGAGCTCATGGTGCTGCCAATTCTCCACAGTACTATATCCTATAAGGGTGACCCCTTGGATAATTTGGAGGCTACCATACCTCCCCATACACGGGCTACGTCCCGACATTACTGACCGCTCATCCCGGTCTTATTGAGGGTGACCCCCTCCTCAGACCACTCCCAGGAAATCTCTAAGTGGTACTGATTGAAACAATTCTGGGTGACCCCCAGTTGTACGTGGAGGCCCACTAAGTGGCAATAAGTGTACTACCGTACCTGACACCTGTTCGGTACCCCATAGACCGAAAGAGTGTCCCAACATGCCATAAGAGACATTCATACAGGGGTGACCCCCCTATGCTGGGTGAACCCCAAGCGAGTCTTACTCCGGTGCTAGTGGCATAGGTACAAAGGGGTGACCCCCCGCACCCTTTCTAGGGCTTCTACCTTCAGAGTACGCTCTGTCATTGTATGCACAGACCAGGGCGCACTAGATGCATGTATTCTGGCACCTCTATGCTCCAACTGGGGTTCCGTACGCCCTTCCCTTAACTGAGAAGGAGAACTCACAGTGCTGCCAAAACTCCACAATTCTAGACCATATAAGGATGAACCCCGTGGACTATATATATTGAGGCTTTCACGTCTCCCAGACTCGGGCTACGTCCCGACATTGCAGACCGCTCATCCCGGTCTTACTGAGGGTGTCCTCATTCTCAGACCACTCCCCGGATCCTGCGAAAATGATACTGATTGATCAAAATTCTGGGTGACCCCCAGTTATACGCGGAGGCCTACTGAGTGGCAATAAGTGTACTGTTGTACGATCCTGTCTCCCACGGACCGAAAGGGTGTGAACCAACATGTCGGACTTACCTCAATATCCCCGACCGATTTTCAGGCGAGGATTAAGGCTGCCATGACAGCTCCGGGGGAAGAAGTCCTCTCCAGTATGCTGGCTAACAACCCATCCGACAGAGCGGGTGCAACGGCAGCAACACCAATGGAAGATTGAGATACCGACGTTAGGTCGGACACCCATCATCAGGGGACGAGGACTTCTCTGGAGATCATGAAAGAATGGAGGGCAGAAGAGGTAAAAGTGACAAGACACGCCTAGCAAGAAAGGTTTTTTCTTTGGCACACTGGACACTCCTGTTTTGACTCACGCACCATCCGACAACCAGGGTCATCCGAATGGGGTTAACTGGAGCACCGGGCCCACTTCTGGCTTAGGAGGCCTATGGGAAAAGAAATCCGAGACCGGCTCAGGATGGAATGCCCACGCCCTCTATGTCCGAACAAGATAGTCCTCACTATGGAGCTCGTGGTGATATGTATGTCCCGATCAGTGTGTAGGAGGAGGACTCAAAATGAGTTAAATACTGGATATGATCAGCCCGGGAAAAAATTCTATACTTTGCGGACCTGACCCCACACAAGACTCACCTCTAGAAGCTCACGATGTGAGGGAATGGGTGCAAAGGGCAATATGTAAGTTGGGGAACGCAAGGCAGACAGGTGCACAGAACGCCGCAAAGCAGCCCGATTAAAGATGGATTTCAAACTATTGAAGTTAGGGACGAAAGAGCGAGGACCTCAGGCAGACGGACTATCGTTTGGAGAACCATTTATCTCAGCAACGGTTTGGTAGTAAGGAAGAAGATAGGAGACTATCACCCAGTCATCAACCTATGCCAACCCAATGGTTTTGGGGCGTACCGACAACTCAAGAAGGAAGGTATCCATCTCTTAGGGGATCTACAAGGTTGGACTTGAAGGGCACTTACCTATAGGTTAACATGGTGCCTCGTGAAGTTTCTGAAGTCGGTCACTGCGCACTGAAAAGCAAAGGGTATCTGCTGTCACATACCTAGACGACTTACCTTTTGCAAATCCAATTCATGACTACGTTTACAAACGAGATTTATGTTTACAGTTTCGGGAATTGTTGGGATTCATAGTGAACAGAGAGGAGTTGGTTCAATCCCAGTTCCGAGTGATTCAGTTCCTCTATTTCAGAATAGATTCCACCTTGGGCGGATTACACCTTCCCACATCATTGATAGCGATGATTCGTAAGGAAATTCGACGGGTACGGCGGAAAGGCACCATAACCCTTTGACTATTTCCCAGGACTGCTTCACTACCAGGCCAGACAGTGGCTGAAAGCTCACTGCCTGAGATACGGACACACCTATGAAATTGGGATCAGAATAGCGAAGACTTCGATAGTACTCATTACTGCGGTAAAGGAGGCAAGCGTGACACCCAGAAGGGTTGTCCTTAATCAGGATCATCCTCTGCTCCTTCCGTTTTAACTTGCCTTCGGGCGGATCCAAAAGGAGAACATCATCCATTGAGAATGCAGGAGCATCTGGAGTTGGTAGATTGGTGTCTTCCAGGGGAGACTGGTATGTCAAGGGACTATCGCAACCAACTAGAGACCTACTATGGGACTCATGGACGCCAGGTATTCCCCCGAAATAACTTATCCGCATGGAACACCTTGAGTTCGCTGGTGTATGGGAAGGGACTGCGATCCCTTTATTACCCCTATCTCCACGATGCTGGATCTTTATCATACCTTTTCACTACAGGCCGATCGGAACGTTCCATTAACGGGCTACGTTCCGCGATTTCGACGATGCATAGCACGATTCACGACACTCCGGTCAATCAAGAGCCTTTGATATGCCATTTTCTGTGGGGTATCAAACCGTCCAGAACCATGCGTCAAAGTATCACTGGTGTGGGACTTTGATTTGGTTCTTTTGGAGCTAGTCAGATATCACGGTCCTATCCCTCAGTCAGCCATTAGCCAGAGTCACGTTACTTTTAGGTCTTTTCGTCGGGTATCAGATGTACTGGAGTTCGACGTAGACGGTCTTTTCGGTATCACTGGAAAGAATAATTTCTACAGTGTCTCGTAGAACTATATCTTATCCGTGTCCGTATCGTTCCCTGTTACCGACGGTTTCCCAGCCTATGTGCAGTTAAAGGGGTACTTTGTTACATGGAGATCACGACAACACTTAGAATGTCACATTCAGGACATCTGCTGGTCTTATACCAACCGTACAAGCCAGTTACCATGAACACTCTGTCTAGATGGGTTCATTGGTTGTTATCGCTAGCGAGGGTGGAGACGTGTTTGGGTACTCATTCGGTAAGAGGCGCGGCTGCTTCTCAGGCCTTCGCGAGGGGCCTCTATATTTTCAGCGATGAATTGGACACGGATAGACTACTTCCGTATATTTATTTTCGTCAACCACACACGCATCCTTCTCGCTCATACCACAGCTTTAAAAATGCAAAATATGAAGCCTCCTGTCATGTGATAAAATTGTAGATTATGCTAACGTAGTGTACCTATAATCTTAATTTTAATAATGACAGGAGGCGAGTATTTTCCCTCCCTGTTTCCCTCCCTATACTCTGGAAATTTTTTATATTTTGGTTTGTCATTTTCTCAGTGTAAATTATAAGGTTTGGTAATTCAGTATATTTATGGGATGCTTATTTGGTTGATATGTGTTAGATCCGTGTTGATTATTAAGTATACTATGGTTTGTTTAATGTTTCAGTATATTAACTTAATATAAATATAGACACATATAGTACTGGATTTAATGTGGACAACAGTTGGTTTCCATCACCTTTCACGTATTTCTGTTCTTTTCAGCGTAATCATCATAGATGGATTCGACAAGATAAAGCTGGAAGGTTTCAAGTTATGTTCTACACGTTACTCAGGACTGTTATTTGAATTCCCTGACGTTATAATAGACTGTTTTTCGCATCAAAGAAAGAGGAAGTCATGTGACTGTCAGGGCTTTATATATGAATGTGATGCCTGTTACTGATTGGTTTAAAGTTTATTGATTGACTTGTGCTGCTGGAGGCATAAAGTAAAGAAAGTTATGCAAAATACTCGCCTCCTGTCATTATTAAAATTAAGATTATAGGTACACTACGTTAGCATAATCTACAATTTCATTTATAGATCTATAATCATAATAGCTGGTTATTTACTAATTGTCTTTTTGTGATTCCTTGTTCTAAACACATTTATGCAAGTGTTTTTTTTTAACCTGTATCTGTTTTAGGAAGCGCGGATACTTTTTATTCTGTTTATGTCGCAGACTTTTTAGTTTTCCTATAGTATATCACACACACTATACAAGACAAAATGTCTGTAGCATCAATTAAAGAGCGAATATTTTTATTTAGAAGATAATACCTAAAACAATAATCCTTAGTCTGATATGAATGTATTTACATTTAATAATCCTTCAAGGGGAAACAGTTAGCACCAATCCAAACATGACAAAAACGTAACAATGTGGAGGGAGGGGAGAAGAACAGACCAAAACCAAATGACGCAAAGACCAAAAAAAAAGTTATTTTTATTCACATATGACTTGAAAAAAAAAATAAGAATAAAAAAAAGAATCCAGCTACGAAATATATGTCAGCAAACGCCAAAAGAATGAATTTATCGCTGAAGAATGCAGAAGTCATTAGCACGCCATCATACGTCCATAGATGTTAAAAATGTTGTACTTGTATGGCCGGAGCACATAAAACTGTACTACTTGATATATTTTTCCATGAATTTCTTGTGGAATTCAGAGCGTAGGGTGTCATTTACAAAGCGCTTGTCCTTTTTCATTTCATCAACGCCTTTGGCACAGTTCTTAAATACAACGTCATCATCCCACCTGAGAAGACAGACATTTTAATAGTTAAAATTTTACAAATGTCGTTTTGTTAAAGAAACCATAGAGTTTCTAGTTCTCCCCTCTCAATTCAATTCCTTCAAGATATTTAAAAATAAAAAATACAACCAAACACTGCTCAAATGGAAACTCCAGTGCCAGGAAAACAATCTGTTTTCCTGGCACTGCAGGTCCCCTCTCCCTCCCACCCCCCAATCCCCGGTTGCTGAAGGGGTGAAAACCCCTTCAGTAACTTACCAGAGGCTTCTTCCTTCGCCGCCACTCCTCCTCTGTATTACATCGGCCGGTGGGAGAGACTGATCCTGCCCACCTGCCGGGGAGACCTAATGCGCATGCGCGGCAATGCCGCGCATGCGCATTAGAGCTCCCTATAGGAAAGCATTGAAAATGCTTTTCAATGCTTTCCTATGGGGAAATAAGCAACGCTAGAGGTCCTCACACAGCGTGAGGACGTCCAGCGACGCTCTAGCACATGTTTCCTGTGCTATGATCCAGGAAGTGCCCTCTAGTAGACAGCCACTAGAGGTGGAGTTAACCCTGCAAGGTAATTATTGCAGTTTATAAAAAAAAACTGCAATAATTACAGTTGCAGGGTTAAGGGTATTGGGAGTTGGCAACCAGACCACTCCAATAGGCAGAAGTGGTCTGGGTGCCTGGAGTGTCCCTTTAACTTAATCTAAAGAATAAGAGAATATTAAAATATATAAGTTTAACAAGGAAGACTAAAAGACAATACAGATCCCAGTTCTATGTGTCTGTTTTGTGTCATGTCACATGTGTGTATATTATTTCTGTGATGTTTCTTCTTTATGTGTCCAACTATACTTTAATATGGCAAAAATGGACAGTTGTAATCAAAATGAGTAAATCCATATTGAAAATCAGGTTTATTATCAACATCTTAAAATACATAGTAAAAACAAAGAAAACGTTACCTGCGCTCTGGCCTAAATCCCCATGTGCGTTTAAACAGAAATGGAGGCTCTTTGGTTTTATTCTAATGGCCATTTGAATATGTAAGCTCACCTGCCACGTCAAGGCAAGCCTCAATAGGTGAGTTCCTACACTAGCCATTAGATATGCCGATATCAGCCATGAGTCTCCAATGAGACAGGAAGGGGTATTTTATAAACCCTTTATAGGGCTTCTGCACATACAATAAACTTTGCTGATATCAGACAAAGTGAGACAAAAAGGGGTGTTTTATAAACCCTTTAACATTTAACCCTTTATAGGGCTTCTACACATACAATAAACTTTGCTGATATCAGACAAAGTGAGACAGAAAGGGGTGTTTTATAAACCCTTTAACATTTAACCCTTTATAGGGCTTCTACACATTCAATAAACTTTGCTGGTATCAGACAAAGTATAGACGTCTCTAATGAGACATGAAAGGGTGTTTTATAAACCCCTACATACTTTACCCTAAATAGGGCTATAACGTAAAGTATGTAGGGGTTTATAAAACACCCTGATATCAGCAAAGTTTATTGTATGCGTAGAAGCCCTATAAAGGGTTAAATGTTAAAGGGTTTATAAAACACCCCTTTTTGTCTCACTTTGTCTGATATCAGCAAAGTTTATTGTATGTGCAGAAGCCCTATAAAGGGTTAAATGTTAAAGGGTTTATAAAATACCCCTTCCTGTCTCATTGGAGACTCATGACTGATATCGGCATATCTAATGGCTAGTGTAGGAACTCACCTATTGAGGCTTGCCTTGACGTGGCAGGTGAGCTTACATATTCAAATGGCCATTAGAATAAAACCAAAGAGCCTCCATTTCTGTTTAAACGCACATGGGGATTTAGGCCAGAGCGCAGGTAACGTTTTCTTTGTTTTTACTATGTATTTTAAGCTGTTGGATACTAAGCCACTGCTGCTGTAAGCGCAGTGCTTTATCTTTGTGTTTGTATATGAATTTTGTATCACTCAGCTATGTTACATTGCTGCCAGCCTTCCCACGTTTGTCTTATTAAGACTTTATAAGTATGTAGGGGCAGCACCCCTTCCTGTCTCATCAGAGAAATTTGCCTTTTAGCTGATACCAGCAAGGTGATTTGTATGTTATAGCCCTATTTAGGGTAAAGTATGTAGGGGTTTATAAAACACCCTTTCATGTCTCATTAGAGACGTCTATACTTTGTCTGATACCAGCAAAGTTTATTGAATGTGTAGAAGCCCTATAAAGGGTTAAATGTTAAAGGGTTTATAAAACACCCCTTCCTGTCTCACTTTGTCTGATATCAGCAAAGTTTATTGAATGTGTAGAAGCCCTATAAAAGGTTAAATGTTAAAGGGTTTATAAAACACCCCTTTTTGTCTCACTTTGTCTGATATCAGCAAAGTTTATTGTATGTGCAGAAGCCCTATAAAGGGTTAAATGTTAAAGGGTTTATAAAATACCCCTTCCTGGCTCATTGGAGACTCATGGCTGATATCGGCATATCTAATGGCTAGTGTAGGATCTCACCTATTGAGGCTTGCCTTGACGTGGCAGGTGAGCTTACAAATGGCCATTAGAATAAAACCAAAGAGCCTCCATTTCTGTTTAAACGCACATGGGGATTTAGGCCAGAGCGCCGGTAACGTTTTCTTTGTTTTTACTTATTATCAACATCTACAGACTTTCAGCTCTTTGCAATAAACAAATCAAACAAAACCAATTAAAAGAACTCAACACAACAAATGCTTCAAGTGGTTTCACAAAATTCTACTAAAAACGCTACTTATAATGACTTCTCCAGTCCAAGTTGTGAAAATATTTAGTACTTTGTTGGAGGACATTTTGCTGTTATGACCTGCTGCAAACAAGATGAATAGTCAGATACCAGCTTCTGGCAGCGTTTGGGGAATCTTAGCCCACTGCTCATTAGCAATAGCCTCCAGTTCAGTAATATTCTTGGGTTTGCGAGCTGCATCCGCCTTCTTTTCTATGGGGTTCAAGTCAGATGACTGATGGCCATTGTACAGTTGTTAAGGACTTCTTCTGCAACCATGCCTTGGTGGAATTTTGAGGTTTGCTTGGGATCAATGTCTTATTGGAATGTCCAATGACGCCAGAGCTTCAGCTTCCTTGCCGACAGCATGACGTTTTCTTCTAGGATGTCCTGATACTTCAATGAATCCATCTTGCTTCAGGTTTCCAGTGCCAGAGGATGCAAAGCAGCCCCAGAGCATCACCGAGCTACCACCATGCTTAACTGTAGGAAGAATGTCTTTTCAACATATGCTTCATTCTACTTTCTCCAGACGTATTGCTGATCCATTGGGCCAAAAAGTTCCAGTTTTGTTTCATCGCTTTACAAAACAGAATCCCAAGGACTGAGTTCTTGATTAGTTGCATCAGGTGTGCTTGAGACAACACCTGTTTTACATATTTGTGCTGTTGTGAGGGATTCTATTCAATGGGTTGAATCATTTTGAGACTGCAGAAGTCATTAAGTTGCACCGTCAGTTGAATTTGGGGAAACCACTTAAAGCATTTGTTGTGTTGAGTTATTTCAGTTGTAAACAGCTAAAGGTCTGTAAATTTTTACAGTAAACATGATTTTCAACGGAGGTTGACTAATTTTGATTACAACTGTATGTCTGTCATTGCAGACAGCTAGTGAATTGTGCTAGTTTTATTTTCAGCAACATGGGTTTATGACTTAGAGATCCATTTGCAAAGCTAATGATGATACACACACAGTTTTATATGCAGATGAATTACCTCCGTTTTACTTTAAAACTTGCTTGCGCCTGTACAGGGCCTGTGAGGTTCAGCAGAGGGTTCCCACTCAGAATGTTCTCCATTCTAATACGTTCTTCTTCAGCTTTTTGCTCCAGTTCCTGTTAATAACGGCAGAGTGTTAGACTGTCTCCATGCTGGCTAGAGGCCTTTCTTCTGAGGGTGCCTGGAGAGCGGGCAGTTTAGCCCTGCACCATATCACATTAGAGAATATTACCATTTGTGATGCTTCAAGTTCAAAACCATATCGTATACTAAACAGAATTAGGAATTAATTTCCTGAAGCCAAAAACAAGCGGCTCAATACAGATGGCTCCCTTCCAGCCGAGCCTTCTATCATCCAACGCGCAGCTATCAAAGCACAGATTTGTCAGAGAGAAATTGTTTGCGCTCTTTGATTATTGATTCTCTTTGCAGTAACACTATACATAATTAAGCAGGTGCATAAGGCTGATACTTCTGTGCAAATTTCTGTAAATGAAAGTGAATGAACCCACAGATAGCATGTGCCATTCACCCTGACCTACATATAGTCTTTAAAAGATTTAAAAAATAGTGCTGACATTGCAATGGATACACTGCTAACGTTAATAGAAGTATTTTATAAAAGTGCCAACTGAGCCTGCAAGCCTGCTACGATGTTCTAGGACCCGTAGAGCCTCAAATTTAAAGAATTTTTCAATTTGGATACAGAAAAGGCTCCAATATGAGTAATACTAATATATTGACATTGGGGTCATTTCTACATGTTGGGCAACAACTGTGGATAGCAGTTCTATTCAGTTATATTATAAAAGCCAATCTATATAGTATTGCATAAACCTTGCATACACCCATTGTTGAAGCGTACGAATGCGTGAACATATACTGCATCTGCTGTCCATGCACTATACTTGTTGGCATAGGGGTATCTGCTAAAATGTGAACCAATGACTGATCCGGCTAGTGTCTGTTTACAAAATACACTTTGAATTTGATGTAATCTCAAAATCCACTAGCATGAAGATATGGAGACCATCTCATAGCCTAGATTTACTTTCAGTGGCCAAGTGAAATGTAAATACAGCTGGAACAGATATCTGCCAACACCTGGTGCAATAGAGATTCAAACTGTCATATTAAGCATTAAGACAAAATATTGCCTCTGAATTAGATGAATACTTTGTGTACCAGAAAAACTGATTGCTGGTGACCCAACACCCAAGCTTTTACAAGAGGATAATTAAATGGAGAAGCAACACTTTGTTTATTATTTCTATAGTGTTTGTCTTCCCTAAGTTATGGAAAAGAACAATAAATCACAGATGGGAAACAGGACAGCACTCTGATAATAAAATAAATTAAACACTTTTCCTGGGATGCAACAGTGCCCCCTACAGGAGCAAGCAACACTATACGAACGTAGTATAATAATACATGGACTACTACTGCCAGAAGCTCAGCGTTATTAACTCCAGCACCAAAAAGAGATACATAACAGTCCAGAGACTATGCCACTGACAATGTCCCATCATCAATCCTAGTAATTTGAGCAGAAAATGCTGTAAAAGGAACAGTCTAAGCTGAAATATCTACCATCTTTGAGTTAGCTGGCTATTTCTGCAGCCGTAGCCACCCTTCACCTGGCAGTCACTGTTCAAGTTTAAAGTGTTTTCGGTACCAATAAAACATTTAGTAAGTACTTGTTGTATGAATTGTATCTCTGCTCAGACCTGATAAATACCAGCTAATGTAAAAAAAAGACATTTCTCTTAACAGCCTCCAGTGTGAGGTAATAGGATGCTCCTTTGTGGTTCGATGATGCAATTCTATTTTCTGCAGAGCTGGAGAAGCCACAGTCATCGCAATTCACTGGCTGAGAGGGTCAACTGAACAATGACGGACCTTTTGAGCAAAGAAACCAGAGTGCCAGGCTCTATATGTGCAGCGTTTTATAGCACATACAGACTCCAGGCACCAAAAGCACATCAGATCACTGAAGTGGTCATTTGATGTGCTCATGGGGTCTGGAGTCAGCATGAGTTTCCAGACACATATAACTGCCTTCCTGGGACGAATGCAAGTTGCAAAATATAACGTACCCACTGCACAAAGTTTGATGAGTTGGAAGCTGACATGTCATTTTTACAATCTCTACAGATGTTTAAACTACCAGTGCCCTGCTCTATTGTTTAATACAATTTCTGAGGACCTCAGACATCAGCTAAGCAGCCAGTATTGATAAACTACTCAAAGGCAGTGGGGGTCATTGGCATGCTTAGCATGGCTTAATAAAGCAGTCATTACCTTCCGGGCTTGCTCTTCTGCACGTTCCTTTTTTATTTTTTCCAGCTCCGCCAGGAGAGCAGCAGTGTCATCATCACTATCTTCATCGGAGTCATCATCTTCCTCCTCCTGAGGAGAAAACAGACAGTGTAAAGGGTCATTATCATAATACGTTCGGCTTTCGATCCTACCTTCCAGCCCATGCCGCACACCCATCAACTGTACAGTGTATTAAGAACCTGATTTTACTAGCAAAGGATTGCGGCAATACAATATTCTGTCAATAGTCAGCAGGTCGGACCTTACATGGTTGAGATTCACAGCCATATGACAATAAATAGATACCAGAAGCTGAGTTTACTACAGACCGGTTTGACCACACAATCAAAAAATAACTAAAAATATAAGTCTTTAGGGTGTTGTAGAATAAAAAATAAAAAAATTTACATATTCCATAGGCAACATTTACTTTGCCATTAAATTATGCTAAAATTAAGGAAATTACTTCTTTTAAAGAACAAAAATCATAACATCTTAAGGACCATATGCTAGTGTGGAACGAACACTAAATGATCTTTAAAGGCTGGGTTATTGTGATAGGAATATTCCATCTTTGGTCCAGTTAAATTCAGTCACACCAATCCTTAGTGAATTACTATCCCCAATACGTGAGCTGGAAAAGCAGTTATTAGCACCTACACCAGGGCTTAAATGATCAAGTCCTGTGTTTCTGGCCAGGTCTTTAAAGTTACTCGCCACTGCAAGCGTGGATCCATGACGCAATCACCAGGCAGTGAATTTCTACTTGTCAATGGCTATTTGAAATTTTGAGTCCTGACCTCCAAAAGAAGTTTGCAAACTTCAGGGTTTCTGCACACTATATTAGGTTATTGCGGAAATGTGACACAATGCACACATACAAATCTGATGGGATAAAGGGAAACGCAAACATACATCTGTGAGAGGATCATCTGCATCAAGGTTTGCAGCTGGAATCTGGTCTAGACGAGGTTTCTTGGATATAGAAGAGGTATGTTCTGGAAGAGGTAGGAGAAAAAGTGTGTTAACCTATTGGCTGAAAAATTAAAACATTTCTATTAAAATATTCTTTGCTAACCAAAAGTAACAATTTAAGGCTATACCATAAACCTCTGGATTAGATAAGCAGCTCTCTGAAAAAGTGAGCCACATTCTGTTTCTAAAAGATCAATTAAACTCATACCGCTCCTCGCTGTTCGGTCTCTGTTCTTCTCTCTTACAGTAACACGCTCCCTCTCCTCTAATTCCCTTCTGAAGTCACGGCTTCTCACTTCCTCGGGGGCATCCTGTGTTGTTTGTCTACAAATCCATTTAGAAATCCATTTCATTTTTGAAGAAATTATAACTCTACCCATTCAAAGAGCATCATAAAAAACACAATGTAGCACAGAAAAGCAACAGAAAAGGAGGAATATAAAGAAAGAAGAGGGGCTAGGGAGGCACAAAGTACACAAATGAGATGCAGTGAGGGAGAAAGAAGAGAGAATTGAATGAAGGCAGTAGATTATTAGTACATATTGAACATTCACTCAAGAGTAGATAATGCAGAAACATATAGAACATTTACTTTATTACAGTTCACAATTACTTACCACAAAATAGAATAATATTCAGAAATATACCTATTTAATTATTAAATATTTTACCAGGAAGGATACATTGAGATTTCTCTAATTTTAAGTATGTCCTGGGTTCACAAACATTGCATTGTTACAATAAAATAGTAAAAATACAAAAACAATATTAATACTAATATTAATTAACACAGGGCCAGACAAATCTCAGGACTAAAAATTTCGCCCTGGCGCCTGGAATTTGCCAGCTCTCAAGTTAATGTGGCCGCCGAAGGAGCTTTGACGGTGGCCATCACAGGGAATATTGGAGCCGGCCACCCTGGGTAGCATGGAGCCGCCTGCCCGCGGGAGCATTGTGGGTGGCGCGCGAGGGAGCAGTACTCTGCCTGCAGCTCCTCTCTCGCGCTGTCTAATGATGTCGGGAGCTGGAATATGACTTCCCTCCAGCCCCCCGCATCACTACAGAGAACGCGAGTGAGCAGAGAGGAGCTGCAAGTAGATTATTGCTCCCTCGCACGTGGAGCGCAGCCCCACTGGACCCCAGGGAAAGATCCACTCAGCTCTCCCAAAGGTAGGGAGGCTGAGTGGTTTTCAATTAAAACAAATGTGAGTGTGTGTGAGTGAGTCTGTCAGTTTGTGCGTGAGCGAGCCTGTCCAGAGCGTATGTGCGTGAGCGTGAGCAAGCCTGTCAGAGTGTGTGTGTGTGTGTGTTTGAGCAAGCCTGTCAGAGTTTGTGTGTGCTTGTGAGCGCGTTTAGGTACCTGTCCGCTCCATTCGCATGAGGATGGTGTTTTTACTCACCTTTTTGACCCCCATTTTCCCACGCCATGCCAGTTTCGTCATGGTGGAGATTATCAATCTTTATCTAAGCTAAGCCAATGGAAAGCATTGTGAGGATTTTGTGCATGCGCAGCAAATGTACCAATCTGAATATCCTCATAGAGATGCATTAAATTAATGAATCTCTATGAGGAACATTCAGTGCCTCCATGCAGAGCAGTGGCCCAGGACTCTCTAGTGGCAGTCTGAGTGACTGTCACTAGAGGTGTTACTAAGCAGCTATGTAAACACTGCCTTTTTGAGTTTACACTGAAAAGCCTGCAGGGACAGGCTATAGACACAAGAACAACTACATCAAGCTGTAGTGAATCTGGTGACTATAGTGTCCCTTTAAAAACTGCATTTTCTCATTGAAAATGACTGGCCCCTAACTTTTTTAGATGACTCCTAGATTCCAAACAAATCTATCAAGCCCAGAATTAACAGATACAAAATTTAACATAGAACAGGTAAATTCTGTTTTGAAATGTAGAGAGGGATCTCTTAAAGGATTTTAGGCTGGGGGAAGATTTGAAAGTGTGCAGGAGGTTATTCTATAATTGCGGTGCTCTGTAGGAAAATGAGGATTGAGCAGCTTTCTTTTTGTATTGAGGTAGACTAAATAAAGTCCTGGTACTTGATCACAGGTTATAGGAGGTGGGAACAGCTGGGGATTCTAAGATCATTCTGCTCATGTAGGCTGAAAGCTTCCCAGAAAATCTCTTAAACACAAGGCAGGAAAGATGAAGTGTGCGTCTGGATTCGAGCAATAGCCAGTTTAGCTCTTTTAACATGTCACAATGGTGGGTCATATCATTACATTGTAGCAGAAAGCGACAGAACAAGTTTTACAAGGTAGTAAGTTTATTAAGGTTGGTCTGCGGTGCAGGTGCATATACCACATCACCATAATGATTTACATTAGCATTTGCTGTACAATCTGTTTATTTACTGTGGGGCTTAGGCAGGGGAGCCAGCAAGTTGGGAACCCCAACAACCCCTCTGGCATCGTGTGTCAGGTATCATCAGCTTGAGTCCAGTGTCTCAAGCAGTGTGTTCTGCTGTTCTCGGGAGTCAGGTAGGGTACAATGAACCAGGGATGGCTGCCGTCGGGACCTAGTCCGTGTAATGCCCTTCATCTCCCTAAGTGGTGTCTAACTTTGTATCAACAAATTATAGATCACCTTTCAGATGCCCTAATCTTCTATAAAGTGCATCAAATGCATGTGACATTACAACACAACATTATTGTTGAAGGTGTCTTGTAAAGACACACTGCCAAGCCAGTCTTGATGAAGGATTCCTATACAAAATGTATCTAAGGTGTGTAAAAGTGTATTTCCTTTTGCAACTGGTATAGTGAGGTCTCCATAATATTTTTTTATATACAAACACTATTGCCTATGATTCAATTATTAAGTAGTAGCATGCAAACTTGACATGGGTTAATCAATAAATTGGGAACATGCATTAACAGCAGCAAACTGCCAACCAAGGCCTTCTGCACCCCACAATATACGCAAAAAAACATCCTTCAGGGATGAAAAGCAAATATTTAACTATATTGAGGTAATAATTTACTTAAATAAAATTAGGACAAACCTTTACTGATGTATACACAGCTTCATATCAATATAATAATTTAAACCAATACTAAAGCAAAAGTGGGGGGCACTGAAAACTTAAATACCTAGTTTAAATAAAAATAATTTAAATTTGATATTCTGAAAAATAATATATAATGCATGCAATCATGCAAGAGCTTGTAGTGTTGAATTTAGAGGAATGTAGTACATTTGGGTTATTTACCTATATTTGATCTTTGTATGAGAAGGAAGGTCTCTGCTAGAGTACTGTTTAGAGAGCTGACTTAAATCCCCTTCACCTTTTCCCCTACCTCCTCTTGCGGGCTCAAATGTTGGCCTGGCCGCGGTTGTCATCTTTCACTCAACTGTCAACAAAAAGTGAATAAATGCTGATTAAGAGAAAACTAAGCAAGTCAAGCAAGCAGTAAACAGTGGATACAAGAAGCCAAAATTCAATTCTACACATATTATTACACAGCTTAGTTAGATGATATAGAGCCCATTTTTCATGATATAAACAAACATAATAACAACAATCAACGCCTAAGTGTCACCAACCATGAGAACAAATCTAATTATTATTAATCCCCACTTGACACAAACATTTCTAAGAAACTTTATAATGTGGAGGCTTTTTTGTGTAGTTATAGGCTACTTTACATTATAAAGCCTTTATGGTTTATTTACTAAACACCGAACCACATATTAATGATGTCTCTCTCTCTCTCTATATATATATATATATATAAAAAAATTTAATAGGGTCTATATATTCCAAATATAATGGGGTGAAAATTTCCCACTGTGCCCAGCCTGGACACTGCTGGCTAGGTTTTACCCCTGCAGCTGATGTGGAAGCTGGCTGAGCGTGCTGTGAGTTAGTATAAGGATGTGTGAGTTCCAGTAACAATACATATAATGACCATGTCCCTAATGACCCCATGGGAGGCACAGAGCTGCTGGCTGAGCGTGCTGTGAGTTAGTATCAGGTCCCCGTGGCCCCCATGGGAGGCGCAGAGCTGCTGGCTGAGCGTGCTGTGAGTTAGTATCAGGTCCCCGTGGCCCCCATGGGAGGCACAGAGCTGCTGGCTGAGCGTGCTGTGAGTTAGTATCAGGTCCCCGTGGCCCCCATGGGAGGCACAGAGCTGCTGGCTGAGCGTGCTGTGAGGTCCCCCAGTAACTCACCTCCCCGGCCTCGGCCTGCTCTCCAGTTACCCCGAGCTCTGCCTCCCCAGCCTCACACGGCCACACGTCACAGGTGCGACTTCCTCGATAGAGCTCTAAACTCTCCGGGGAGAGCAGAGCGCGAAACGTGTCTCACGGTGTGTGCTCAGAGCAGAACGGAGTCCGCCATTTGCACGGAGACCGTCGTGAAAGAGTGGGTTAACGGGAGTGACCCTCACCAAAATGGCTCCGAGAACGCAGACAGAGATCGACACTCCTGTGTTTAGAACTCTAAAAAAAGGCGCTTTAATTTGACGTCATACGCCCAATGGGCGGCAACATTGAGAGCGAACGCACAAGCACAGTATCTGTAATGCGCCACTAGATGGCGCTGTAGTACGATTTATTTATTTTTACTCTAAAGTCATAAGTAAATTTAAAAAAAAAATTTTTTTTTTTTTTTGATTTCAGTCGTGTACCTGCCTGTATAATTTTGCTAATATTTCTATATTACAGGCCTTGGAGCTCTTGTCATCATAAATATCTCATGCTATCCTATTAAACTCCCTGTGCGCCCCCCACCCGCGTCCACGTCCCACCCCCCCATCCCTCCCCCGTCCCTTGTTTGATTTTATTGTGTGTTCTTATTTATCAATTTGCTTTGCCCTTTTACTTTAGGAGAGAGAGAGAGAGACACTTGTGCCTAGTGTGTTTTTCTTTTTTTCTTATTCGGTTTTGTCTGCCGGTTTAGGGGTTGAGATCGTTACCTTCCCTTATTATTTATTTATTTATTTATTCCTTTTTCCTCCCCTCCTCTTTTCTGGCCCTCGACTCACTTAGTCTGGACCTTAGCTAATCCTGATTTGGTTATGACGTGATTTGGGTGGGGGGAGGAAAGTAATCATGATAGTATTTATTAGCTTATCATTTTCCATTTTCCCCTGACTACTATGAACAAGTCAGAAGTAAAATTAATACTACACACATGCTGGTTTTATGAAGACTGCTGTGGTTCTGACTGACACAGTTTCCCTAAAGTAACATAACTGGGACTAGATTTCCAATTGTTAATCATATTTATTAAAGGGACACTCCAGTGCCAGGAAAACAAAATGTTTTCCTGGCACTGCAGATCCCCTCTCCCTCCCACCCCCATCCCAGGTTGCTCGACGCTGGTCCTGGGTCCGCCCACGCTCCTTCCCTGGTGGCGTCATCCGGCCGGGGAGACCGATTGCGCATGTGCGGCCGTCAGTGGGGTGAGACCTAATGCGCATGCATGGCAATGCCGCGCATTTGCATTAGACCTCCCCATAGGAAAGCATTGAAAAATGCTTTCAATGCTTCCCTATGGGGATTTTAGCAACGTTGGAGGTCCTCACATAGTGTGAGGACGTCCAGCGATGCTGTAGCACAGAAAGTCTGTGCTAGAAACCCAGAAGTGCCCTCTAGTAGCTGTCTAGTAGAGGGTTAAGGGCAGAAGTGGTCCGGGTGCCTGGAGTGTCCCTTTAAAGGCACACAAAAGGCTGGGGGGAAAGAGGCACATAGAGGGTTGGGGGGGGAGACACAGATGGGCTGGGGGGACAAAGACAGACAGATAAGCTGGGGAAGGGGGGCAAAGAGACACACAGAGGGGCTGTGGACAAGGAGGGGTTAGGGGTAAAAAGAGACACAAAGAGGGGCTGCAGAAAAACAGACACACAGAGGGGCTGAGGGTAAAAGGAGACACACCGAGGGCATGAAGGGACAAAGAGATATACAGAGGGATTGGGGCACAAAAAATGGTCTGGGAGAGAAAGAGACACACAAATGGGCTGGTGCGAGACACACAGAGGGGCTGGGGGGGAGGGGAGAGAAAAAGACCACCAAAAGTGTTGGTCATTTTTTGGGTGGGGTGCAAGTAGCTGGTCTTGCACTGGCCTTGTATGGGCAGCATTTCAAAGCATACCGCTGCACATACAGACTCAAGGCACCATAACCACTTCAAATCACTGGAGTAGTTTTGGGGCTTGATGTAACCCTTTAAGGGAGAAATTTATACAAATTCTGTGTATTTTTTCTTTTATAGACAAACAAATGTGTTAGTGTCTACCAGATATCCAAAATAGGGGATAACCCTGGTTAAGCGTAAGTAAACAAAACAAAAGGTTGATCGAGGGTTCACACAAGTAGACCCAAGATCATTGCATGGATATCTTTATAAATGGTTTAAATAGAATTAAATAAAAAACATACTTTATTGATTACAAATATACAAAATGAACAATCACTCAAAAGAAAAAATATATGTGAATCCTAGAGGGGAGCTATAGAAGCTCAATAAATGTCACAAAAGCATATGGAGCAGTCCAGCGTCAAAAAACTAGAGGTACGGTAAAAATGGCGGTGGCTAATCCTATCTGAGGGATGGATACAATAACCACCTTGAAATTAAACAAATTCTATTATCCATACAATGATCTTGGGTCTACTTGTGTGAACCCTCGATCAACCTTTTTTTTGTTTACTTTTTTCTTTTATACCTACATAGAACATTTTTCTGATTTGTTTTATTCTTTACCATGCAAGCCTCCACATTACCGGTACTTAACCCTTCCAGTGAATTTATTTTTACTTTGATATTCGGCATCCATATCCGGTGAACATTCATATCCATTCAAATGCTGAATGCCAAAATCTGGCCGTTATCAAGTCTGTGATCATTATCTAGATATTGGTGCCAGAATACCTCTGGATGGTTTAGGATCATCTTAGTCTATCCTGACAGTGGTGATGGTGGTGGGGGCATACAGACTTTTGTGACTGAAGGTTATTCACTAGAGTGTGAATTTTCTGGATTTGAATCCAAATTTTTAGTCTACACTAGCCAAATCAGATTAAATCACCAAATCAGGTATATTTCCAGTTTTGTTATTTATGCCAACAATTTAAAGGGTTACTCCAAGCCAAACTACCACTTCAGTAGTTTGAAGTGGTCGTGGTGCCTGGGGTATGTATGTGCAGCGTTTCAGTATGAGGGATTTAGTTTTAATTCTGTTTGGGATCCCAATGATTGACTTAAACACTGTCCCACATTTGGTGAAACAGTACCAATTTTGGGATCCGGTTTTGTCACCCTGGTTTTGTTCTCTTTTGGATACATCAGGCCAAGTCCCCAGAAAGCACACCATAAGCACATCATATATTGAGCTCCCACTGTGCAAGCTATACTTTTCAACAGTGGTGATGACTGGAACTGCTGCCAGTCGATATGTTCACTTTTTTGGCAAAACGTACCCCTTTTCCCAGTGGACCAATCCCCTATAGTGTCACCAGTGATGCACACAGTGGGCCCTCATTCAAACCTCACAGGGATGGTTGGTATAGACATTTAAGCATCAAATATATAAAAAGGTCAGTTAAATTTCAAATTAAACTCTGCATAATGATGGCAGGGGTGAGTATCTGTTACAAGATAAAAAAAAAACCCATCAGTTTGATACATATGATGACTATAGTGTCCCTTTAAAGCTAAAGAGGGAGACAGGAATAGTCTCTGTTACGTTTTGTGTATCGATAGCAGTGATCGAGAGCCTTAGATACCTGTTCTAATCCTTGGTTAGTGTGCAGACATGTGTTGCTTGTGGATCTGACCCGGAGACCTGGAACTGGGGTGGAGGGGCTCCAGAAAAGCACCAGGTCTGATTTTGGCACCCTTTGTTTGATAACCTTGACAACATGTTGCTATTCATGAGTCTACCTCTTTTTGTCTTTTTGTATGTTAAATCATAACATAAATACAAAATATGTGACAATGCCACTTTAACGCATTATATTTAGAGAGAGTCGCACAGCACAGTGTGGGGTATTGCTGTGGGTGAAGGGTTTTAATGTAGTGAGTGAACGTTTAATGCTGTAAGTTTTGGGTTAATTCTGCAGGTGCAGGGTTAATGCTGCATGGCCATGACATTTACAGCTGGGCTTTTTTTCCACCTTGCTACATCCCTATTTATCTGCAGGTAGAACCATTCCATTTCCTAGAATTATAGATAATCAGAAAAAAAACGTCATAGCTAATCATGACCTTGGATTGCAATGTATCATTTTACCTGTCACAACACCGTTTACACATCTGGTGACATCAGCTTGAATGTATTTACTAACTACACTCCACGTATACATTCAAACTTTATAGAAAAGGGTCTCTCTAAACACCATAACATTTAACCATCATTTAAAAAGTTCCTGGTGCGGGCAGTATGCTGTTTCCCTTTTCATTTATTTTCAACTCATAATTACAGAGATTTGCGAAAATCACTGAAGTTATAAGCCGGCCCCCTGGATCAGTGACCTCAGAGATGGAATTTTACTTCCTACATATCCAGCCTTGAACTGTGTATGTGGATTACATAGAACACATCTCCCCCTACTCTTATAGGAATTTATAGGATACAATCAGACTTTATACACCAGAATGAGACTCCTGATTGCTCCTGAACTTTAGAGAACATCGTACTTGCGAGTAAAATATCATTAATGTAATGTAATTTTCAACCATTGTCATGTTTTCATGTCACTTGATAAAAACCCGTTCTTTTCATGTATTTCTCAAATTGCTGGCAAGTGCGTGCATATTCTTCTCAAGTCAAATTCATATGATTGAAATATATTTATATATATATAATATTTCATTTTCGCTGTAGCACTGGTAGTTCTATGAATTTCTACAATACAATTAGTTTCAACCAAAGCTGAATCAAATTTAGTTTCACACAGTCATCGTGTAATTATTGCTGATTATTAAGGTCAAAGTTTACTATTTCTGACATTATAAAAAACATTTATTTCATCTGTATGCATGCATGAGAGCTTTAACAATTCTCACTGATGCCCTCTTATTAATCCACACAATTTAGCTGGGTTTAATGCTGTAATCATATGACCTTTAAGAATAAGTAAGTACTTTTATTTGAAGTACCATTTTGATGGCTATTTATTTTTATCAAAGTGCTCCTTTCTGAATTGTAATTATATAAAATTTCCTGTGATACGGCCCTTAGTCTAGCAGCTGTTTGAAAAAAACACTTATTGAATAGCAATGTACCTTTTGGAGAATCTATTTTTTTTACTTTGTTAGATTCTGCAGTAAATGATTATTCCTCTGAAACTGTTTTTCCAAAATGATGCTAAACACTATAACAACCTATGCTCTGTCATTGTGGGTTGCCATCAGAAATTTGGGGGCTCCTAACACAGCTCAAGGTCTGGGTCCCTGG